GGGACATATCATAGCATCCATCTCATTAAGGGTTGTTGTATCACCCCTCCTAGATTGTAAGCTCCCTGAAGACAGTGGTCCTGTCCTATTGATACCATCACTACCTTCTGCCTCCTGGCATATAGCTCTGGGCATCCTTGTGCTAAACAATGAATGATTTTTCAATGAATGAATGATGCTTTAGAAATGTTGACACATTGAAAATTGAGGTTTTAATGATCTATGAAAAGTTGAGGGAACTAACAAAGAAAGTAGATTGTCTCTTCATGATGTCTACATTCCTTCAAGAGGCCCAGGAAGAAATCCATCTATATCTCATGCCCAATATCACTTGAATTATATTTTTAAAAGTTTTTCTAAGCCAAAGTGAGAGTGGCAAAGTGGATAGAGAGCTGAGCTCTGATTCAAGAAGAATCCATTGGAATGTAAACTCCTTGGGGCTAGGGATGATTTCACATTTGGGTTTATAGCCATAGGGAGTACAGTGCCTGGCACATAATAGGCACTTAATAAATACTTGATGATTGTTGGACGGATCAAAAACACTATTTCAGATGCTAACCAGCTATGATCACAGTCAAGGCACATAACCTTTCCAAGCCTGTTTACTCATCTGTAAGATGGCAGTAATAAGAGTATTTGCCTTCAGGGATATTATCAGGCTTAAATGAGATAATATACTTAAAATGCTTGGTCATTGTGAGCTACTGTAATTACAAAAGGAAATCTTGAGACCTTTAAAGGCTAAGATCATGAATTAAGCTCTCCATTGACTCTGAAAGGGCATCTAGCTCGGTCTCTGTTTTACAGATGAGAATACTGAGAGGTCAAGGGACTTCAAGGTCTCATACATAGGTAGGGAGTTTCTGAGCCAAGATTTGACCCACCTCCCCCGACTCCAATCCAGCACCGTTCCCAAGTACTGAGCTAATTCCACTCCCACCCCATCCCATTCCAATAGATTGCTGGAAGCTAAAACAAAACACAGAATATTCTATTGCTTCTGAGAAAATGACATCTTTTAAAAAAATGGCACTCTCATCTCATCTCATCTCTTCCTTCTAGGCTAGGTTTACACATTTTAATAGGGTACTAATTACAGGCACTAGAAACAGAAGCAGACTACAAACCCCAGGTTGTTTTGTCATGTTGTCCTCATCCAGAGACTGCAGGAATCTTGATTCTGAGTTGGGGGGAAAGGAAGCAAATTCATGTCAAAGCAATACCTCACCACCCACACCAGGGATTGTTTTTTAACAATCCCAAACCACAGGGAGCTGGCAGTCACATTTACATTTCTACTCCTCCTTGCCTCTGACTGATAATATCAAAAAAGGAAAAGCTATAGGATCAGAATCCAGTTTCTTTATCATTTGTGTGACTTGAGACAAAGACAGCTGTCACAGAGACAGCTACTTTTTCATTTGTCAAATGGCATCAGAAAGTAAGGAGGAAGCCAGAAGCAGCCTGATGTTTGGGGGGCTAGGTAGGAAAGTCTTACCTCCAAAGTCTGCCACTACAGCATGGCCATCTTCATAAAGGAGAATGTTGTGGCTGGAAGAAAGGACAGTCTTTTAATCAAGTCATTTTTTCTTCTACTTGCCCTCATTGAGTTATCATGAGGAAAGCATGTTATAAACCTTCGAGTGCTATATACAGATGGCCACGGTTGTTGGCTCTCTATGGAAGAGGGATTAGATTGGTTTGGCTCTGTCCTAAAGACCAAACAGCAGTGATGGGCGGAAGTTACAAAGGGGAACTGTGACATGATGTCAGCAAGCTAAAAACTCTTCCTAACAGTTATCTCAAAGTGGAATGGGCTGCCACCGGGAAAAAGTGTGTTCCCCCACTATAAAGGTCTTCAAAAAAGAGACTAGATGAATCTTTATTGGTTATGTAGTAGAGAGGATTTTTGTTTAAGTATGGAATGGACTTACTGGACTGGGGAATCACTTCCAACCTTGAGATTCTGGGAGTAACTGTTAGTATCATTAGCTCAGTAGTAACTTCAAGGAGGCAGATGGGTGACACAATGGATAGAGCACTAGGGATGGAGTGTTCAAATTCAGCCTCTGCAGACACTTACTATCTGTGTGGCCATGGGAAAGCCACTTAACCTCTGTATGCCTCAGTTCTCTCATCTGTAAAAAAGGGAAAATAATAACACCTACTCCCCAAGGTTATTGTGAAGATAAAATGAGCTAATCTTTGTAAAGGGCTTAGCCCAATGCCTGGCACATAACGGGTGCTACATAAATGTGTATTCTTTCCCCCTCCACTCATTTATACATTCATGCCCTCATTTCATAAACATTATTAAGGGACAACAATAGAACCAGTAATGAGAGGGCAGAAGAGGAATGGGTGGTCTTATTCCATGGGGTGTGTAGGATCAAGAGAGAAAATGAAAAGTCATTCTTAGTACCACAGTGGGCTAACCTGGGGAGAATGACCAAAAATTAGTCAATCAACCAGCATTTATTATGCACCTATTAGGTGCCAATCAGGCACTGTGATAGGTGCTGGGAAACAGTGACCTAAATGAAACAGTGTCTGCCCTTAAGGAGCTTATATTCTATTGGGGGAGAGGATACACACACATAAGTATAGGCAAAAGATTTTCAAGATAAATACAAGGAGGTTTTTGAGGAGGACAAGGCACCAGCAACCAAGTGGAAAAGGAAAGAGTTATTATAGAAGGCAGCATTCCTGTGTTAAATCAAACAACAAGCATATATAAAGTGCCTACTATGTGCTAGACGTTGTGCTAGATACAAAGGGAAAAAAGCAAATTATTTCCTGCCCTCAAAAAGCTTACATTTTAATAGAATAACCAATAAACCAATTCTTTCTGATCCAAGAGGTCAAAGAGAAATCAGTGTGACATCTCAGATAGAGTTCTGGTCTTGGAGTCAGGAAGACCTGTGTTCAAAACCTGCCTTTGACACTAACTTGCTGTGTGACCATTAGTAAGTGAATCATTTAACCTTTCTGAAATGAACTTTCTACCTGGAAATTGGGGAAAATAATGTGTATTCAGCAGCCCTCCAAGGGTTGCCATTAGACAAAAATGAGATAAGGAATGTAAAGCAGTTTGCAAACCTATAAACCAAAGCTATATAAATGTGAGCAGGCATTAAGCCCTTCCCAGAAATCTCCAAGGATAACCTGCAATCAACCAATTTCAAGCAGAGGATGCCTCCTCGGAAAAGTGCTTGGGATATAGTAAATGCTTAATAAATTCTTGATGAATGATTGGTTTATATTGACAAGAATATTGTTACCCAATGTAATATTCCCTTCCCTGCCAAAAGGGCAGACTGACAGAAGGAAAGTCCCTCCCTCTGAACAATCCTAGTGATGTCAGAACTCAAGCAATGTCCCTGAATTCCTACTTATTAGGCATTGACTCTCAATTTTGTGGAGCTGAGCCCCACCCTGGGATCTTACCTTGTAAACAAATCTAGCTTAGGCTACATCACAGTTATGGAAAGTCCTTGCCTCTCTCATGAAAAGTAAAATAACCAGAATGAAATGACTTTTCTTGCTCAGATTGCTGAGGGTGGCTGGTGCCTCGTGACCAGGTTTCACTCCATATATCAACACCCCCCCCCCCTTTTCCTCCTTCTGAAAGCATGAAAACCTTTTCTGTGAGTTTTCTTGTTCCACATCCATGTACTCAGATATGGGTGACTCAGGGTTGCAGGCTGGAGGCCCTTCTTATCTTGATTAAAGATGCCTTTTCCTCCTCTTATGAGTGATTTGTTCCAGGACTAAGACTATCCATTGGCTTTCTTTCCATGCCACAAGAATAACGTTTTGTTTGCTTTGGTCTGAACCAGAAGATGACCATGCTTACTTCTCTTTTGAGCACAATGACTTGTGGAACTTAGGAGCCATTAAATGGTTCACGTGACTTCTCTTTTGTCTTATACTGAGAGCGAGAAGAGAGCTCAGAAGCCATCTATTCCCCCCCCCCCCCCCCAATGTGATAGAGAGGAAGTCTGGGGAGGTCATCACACAGACAGGGAGAATCAGAGGTGGGACAAGAAGCCAGGTCTTCTGGCTTCAGAGCCAATGTTGTTCCAATAAAGCCTCCTAGAAGATAGAATCAATCCCCATCAGAGACTTCTGTATTTTACAAAATCCTCCAGTCACAGAATTGAAAGTGACTTTAGTGGTCTTATGGTCTGTTCCTCCCTAAAATGTGAAAGCTTTTTATAACTTCCCTCTAAAATCTGTGACTTGGAGACCTCCTGGTGATGTTGGGAGGAAATTGCCAGTGTAGAGAGAGACTCTTTTCTCTTCTCCCACTCAAAGCTGTCCACGTTTCATCCCATGACTTTCTTGCCACTCCCTCCTTCCTGCTGCCTGGATGGAAACTAATCACTTCCCATACCATCCCATGGGAAGGAAAGGAGACTCATAATTTTCATTGCGACCTTCTGTCCTCTTCCCCTTTCCCAGTGGTGGTAGGCTGGGCCCCTCTAAGCCCCACCTTGAAGAAAGAACCTGACTGCTCACACTGCTTGGAAGAGCAATCACTCATTACAAATTATTTTTCTTAGAAGATAGAGGACCAAAGTTTTTGCACAAACAAAATCAGTGCAGCCAAGATTTAGAGGGAAAGCAGGAAACTGGGGATTTTTTTTGCAAGTTCCTCTGATAAAGGCCTCATTTCTCAAATATATAGAGAACTGAGTAACATTTACAAGACTACAAGTCATTCCCCAGTTGATAAATGGTCAAGGGATATGAACAGGCAGTTTTCAGAAGAAATCAAAGCTATCTATAATCATATGAAAAAAATGCTCTAAATTACCATTGATTTGAGAAATGCAAATGAAAACAACTCTGAGATCCCACTCTACAGCTATCAGATCAGCTAATATGACAGAAAAGGAAAATGAGAAATATTGGTGGGAATGTAAAAATAGGGACACCAATACATTGTTGGTCGAGTTGTGACCTGATTCAACAACTCTGGAGAACAATTTGGAACTATGCCCAAAGGGCTATTAAACTATGCTTACCTTTTAGCTCAGCAACACCACTACTAGAGCTGTATCCCAAAGAGATCAAAGAAAAGGGAAAAGGATCTACATGCACAAAAATATTAAAGCAGCTCTTTTTGAGGTGGCAAAGAATTGGAAACTGAGGGGAATATCCATCAATTGGGGAATGACTGAACAAGCTGGAGTGTATGATTATGGTAAAATACTATTATGCTGTAAGAAATGGATGAACGAGATGATTTCAGAAAAAAAAAACCTAAGAAGACTTATATGAACTGATACAAAGTGAAGTGAGCAGAACCAGGAGAACATTGTACATAGTAGCAGCAATATTATATGATGATCAACTGTGGATGATTTAGCTATTTTCAGCAATACAATGATCCAAGACAATTCCAAAGCACTGATAAAACATGCTATCTACCTCTAAAGAAAGAACTTATAGAGTTTGAATGCAGATTGAAGCATTTTTTTACTTTATTATTCTTGGGTTGTTTTTTTTTTTGAACAGTGTTTTCTTTTGCAACATGGCTAATGAAGAAATATTTTGCATGACTGCACATGTAAAATCGATATCAAATTGTTTGCTTTCTCAAGGAAGGGGAAGAGGGAGGGAGGGAGATAATTTGGAACTCAAACTTTAAAAAAAAACAAATGTCGAAATTTTTGTTTACATATAACTGAGAAAAAAATAAAAAAATAAATCAGTAAAAAAGGAAGATAGAAGACACCTAAGCCTATGACTTGCCCTGATATTGTATCCTAAGGTCTGTTGGGCCTCATGATCTGTTCTGTAGCTACTGACAATGACTTGCAAGTGAACCCTAAGGACCCCTGGCCTTTGCCATTTGGACATCTGGTGCACCCTTAGAATTTCCAACCATACTGCAAGTGAACACTCCAATGTGTGTTGTCTTCTCCAGTTAGAGGGTGAGTTCCTCTCCTTGAGAGCAGGGACCATCTCCCTTTTCTATTTCTATCCTGGAACACAGAATAAATAATAGTTGGCAATAATAAAACCAACTATTGCAAATATTATTTTTTTTTATCTTCACAACAACATTGGAGATAGGTGCTATTATCATCTCCATTTTATAGATGAGGAAACTGAGGCAGACAGAAGTTAAGTGACTTGCCCAGGATCATGCTACTAAGTGTTTGAATGCAGGTTCGAATAGCACAGTTAAATCCTTAATAAATGTTTTTTCATTGCTTCATCAGGGACTACTCTGATGCCAGTAATTTGATGAACTAATTTTTGAAAGCTCGCAGAGATAAATTGCTGCAAATAAGGAATCCTAAGTGATTCTATGGGTAAGATACACAGAAAAGACCATGGGTTCTAGGTACTTTCTGTTCCCACAGTATCTGGGATGTCTTCCTCAAATGCTTTTCTGTGTATTTGGCACTAAAAGCTGTTATTCTCCCCAGGGGATAAAAATTATAGATCTAAAAATAATTCAAAAGCTCACACTATAATGAAGAAACATGAGAAACATTGTTAGGTAATACAGGGTTAAGACAAGGATGTCTCACCAC